AGTAACCTAAAATTTAAAGCATAAAAGATCATCTAGTTAAAAATACAGCCTCAAAGTAGCATAGAAAACGAAATTCTACTAACAGCATAGATATACAAATCAGAATTCACCAAGTAATATATTAAAACTTTTACCAGTACATTCTGGGTTCAAGCATCAGTGTTAAAAATTTCTTAGACACTAATACACTTAACTGGTGAGCATCATACAGTTAAAGATTACCAATCAAGATCAAGCGTTAAACCAAATTAGTGTTGGCAAAAATAGCAATATGAAATTGATTAAAACTTATTAAGAAAGTTTATTGGTCAATTGTTCACTTGATATATCAATGTGAAGGTATAGCTCAATGGTTTAGGAAGATGATGTCCAACGAATAGGTGGCAAGTTCGAACCCCGTCCCACCTACCAGCGGTTGAGCAACCAAGTAGTAACATTAGCCCTCACTCAATAGATGTGGCTCACTGCCAACTCTACGAATATGCACTAGGTTGGTGAATGAGTATCCACTCAGTTCGACTGGATGATATGTTTATAAGGAATATTAAGCAAAATACTATTCTTAGGGGGTTGTGGAGATTTGGAAATATTTCAAGTTGTTATTCATCGTAGACTGACATCAGTTGGAGGAACAAAGGAAACCTGGGAGCACTGGACAGCTGTCTCGTCCTAGTATGGGACTCCTCAGCAGTGCGCACCCACGACCCCACCAGCAGGGATCGAACCCGCGACCTTCAGGTTCCGCGACCAGCGCGTTACCATCGAGCCACTGGGTCACAATCCAATGCTCCATATTTCCAACTTCTGTTAGCTCACGATATAGCGCAAACCGCCACCTAATGTCATCGTTGAGTATTTGTCCTCACGGCCATCAGGCTTGACTCCACCGGTCACGACTTGTCATTGGAACTTCGGGAATACTTCTCGAAGCTAGTCACCAACGAGCACTAGTTCAATTAAATTTTGAGGGGGTTGTGGAGATTTGGAAATATTTCAAGTTGTTATTCATCGTAGACTGACATCAGTTGGTGCTCCCAGTGCTCCCAGGTTTCCTTTGTTCCTCCAACTGATGTCAGTCTACGATGAATAACAACTTGAAAATACTATTCACTAATAATATATTGTAACCTACATAAAAACTATCTTTAATATTTTTGCGAGTATACACAAGAAATCTTATGAATAGTACTTTTAAAATACTTAACGTGAATGGAATGGTTAAATAATATATTTAAAAAAAACACTATTCAGATATGTGCATGACTTCAGACTATGAACGTAATAAAATCATCGAATCAGACATTGAAGACTAGTTGCATCCACACAAAAGAATCCTTTCAATAATCAATCAGAAATAGAAGTGTTTACTATAAACATGAGAAGAAAACAGCTATTACAAACTGTAATGATAAATGCTTACTTATTAAATACATATGTGTCTGGAGTCCATATTTGTTTAGCTGGTATACGTAAAGTTCTGACATTGCCAAATTCTGATTCATTCCACTTTAAATATACATCTTCCCATGTCTACAAGAAACCGACAGTGAAAACTGTAGGTCAAAAAATTTGAAAATTCCCTCCACAAAGTAATTTCATTCAAATAATGCATTTGTTTCATCTCTAAATCTTACTTTCTCCAAGTAAACTGTCGTTCGTCAAAATGTTAAATGTAAGAACCCCGTTGTTTAAAAAAATCCATGCCTTTATATAAGTTTGCTTTCTACTTGTAGAAGTAGCTGAGCACAACAGCCATATCACCTAACATGACACTGTTAAAACAAGCTCATGAGTACTTACTGGAATAGTTATCGAAAAAAGGATTTTCAATAAAAACCACTTATCAGAGGTCACAGGAAAAGCAAGACAGGCGTTCATTAGCCTGAAACCAGTGTGGAGATCTTCTGCACTCAGCATGTGGAACAAGATACGGATTTTCAACACCAACGTCAAGTCAGTGATCTTGTATGGCTCAGAGACTTGGGGCGTCACGAAAGGCATTTCCAATAAACTACAGACATTCATCAACAACTGCTTACGCTGGCTCGCTGCTGAAGATCAGATGGATTGCCAGAAAGAATAAGCAACAAGGAACTCTGGGAACGAACCAACGAAGCAAGAACCTATCACGCAACAAATATGCAGGAAGAAGTGGAGATGGATTGGCCATGCACTGAGAAGGCCGACTGAGGACATCACGCGTCAGGCCAGTTGCTCGAGTGGAATCCCCATGGGAAGCGACGAGTTGGACGTCCGAGGGTGACATGGAGGAGGTCATGCGAGGAGGAAATGAGAGGTTGTGGGCTGTCGTGGAACCAGGTTCAAAAGATCTCAGAGAACAGAGGTCACTGGAGGCGTGCTACTGAAGCCCTATGTTCCACTAGGAACCCAAGGGACTAATAATAATAATAATCAAAGGTCACAAAGTGTGATCACTGACATACAAGTGTCATCCTGAACAGACAATATAAATACTGAACAACGTGAGTTAGTTTGTGATATTTGTTTGATTTGTTTACAACTCGTTTGCTGCGAAACATGACGTTCTCAAGCCTGATCCTTTGTGAAGTTGTGGATGCACACTGCTGAGGAGGCTTGAATTAAGACGAAACAGTTATCCAAAGTTTCATGACATTCAGTGGTTCTCTACTAATGTTAGTCTATGTTGAAAACAAGTGAAAGCTGTGCAACAACTCGATATAAACAAGTGTAAGCAGACTCCGATACAACGGAATTAAAGAGAACTAAGCGAAAAAGTGTGTCCAAAATCTTCCAACTCAATGGTTATTCAAAGAATTTCATCGGGCGATATTTTTTCAAATGAACGAAATCAAAATCTACTCCAAACAATAACAGAAGAATCATCTTTTCAGATAAAGGGAAGGTATATGAAACGACAATAATATTACTGCATCCATTCTGGAGTCCATCGCTACAATATATCCTATGCAAGTCAACAGACCCAAGATATAAAGAAAAAATGACCAACGTTTTCTACAAAGTCGATCGCAATAACTGTGAACACCAATATGTTGGATTACCAGGTAGATTAGTATTACAGCGCATGCATAAATACTATTTATCTGTCAGCCAATGCAATATGAAGTCTCTTATCTCAATACACTGTGACAAACACACCCATACCTTCGACTAGGATAACTTCAAATTTTTTGAATATTTAAACCCCAAAGCGATTGAAGAACTATTTAAAGCCTGAAATTGGTATTTAATCACCATACCTACCTGGATACAATCTACTAGCCTTTTTGACGCTAATTTATTAGAGGAATCAAGCGATCGAAATACAACTAAAAAGGAGACTCAATCAATTCGATTAAGATAACTTGCGCGTGGCTAACCAAAAAAGCTGAAATGACTAAGTGATACAATAGGAATCCGTCTCTCCAGTAAAAGTTAATCCGTCAGTAGTGGTGAGAAACACGCAATCATTTGGAGTAAATCAAACGATCAGCGAAAGCATTTCACAAGTACACTAGTCAACCAATCAGATCACGACACCCACCATCACTTCAGTTCAACAAAAATGTCAACCAAACAGATTAAAGTAACGCTCATCAATTCTACCAATCAAGAAGGATCAATCAACTACAACTAAATTACCTGAGTACTGATCGAATTCTGTTTATAATTTTGCAACATGGCCAGTAAGTTAAGAGGCTCAGCATCGAGTGGCAACATACACAAAATCTACGACAAGAGTTTCCTACCAGTCGCCTCCATCCAACCGAAACCTATCTCAGTACATTGCGATGATGAGTCTCCCAGATTGATAGCTACACTGCGTAGGGATCAATAGAGTCCAGTCAGCACGTAGGACTAGACAACATGAATTTGGTTGCTTTCCAGTGACTAAACAATGTATCTAAACGAATCCTACAGTAGGTCAATCACAGCCCATATAGCACAGTGGTGGCATGTCTGACTGTAAAACTGGATGACACGGATTCCAGCCTCAGGTGGGATATCAGTTACCTCAAGGTTGAAGATGTGCCTTACTGATTAGTGTCAAGAAGTGCGACACCTAGGTCCTGAGGTTCCTAACGACAGCTTACAGTAAATAAAAAAATTGTTTCGGGTTCATACAAAGACTTGACAATCCTAAATAAAGATCAAGATTAGCTTGTTAACGTACATTTTGTTTAAACCATCCAGGTAAGAGAAGATAACACCATCAGAAAATGGTTTAAACGGAAAGTAACATTCCAATTCATTATCCACTACAGTATAGGTTTTTGTGCTTCAATTTTTGATCTATGCTCTCCTATGGTCAGAATGACCTTGATCAGTGGATTTATGTTTTAATGGATCAATGAGATTAGGTTATGGAACTTTCTATAAGTACATGAAAGTGGCACATAAATATATTGCACTTTTGATGAATGAAACATCTTTCTAGCAGTAACAGGTCAGTTTTTGTTTCCTGTTTGTCTCCTGATTAGTTTGGAAGATGGTTCAAGGTACCACCTGTCCATGAAATCTCTGAATGTTGGTTTCAGCCATGTGGAGTGATTTAGACCACCTAGTTGAAATCCCCAAGACGATAGGAATCAGTGGTTGAGGATTCTTGGTGATATAGCTAAGGATCGATCGGTCATATTCGTTCAGATATTATTCACTCTTTAATGTCTTCTAAAGCTTGAATTTCTTGATTAGCACTAACTATGAAGTGCTGCAAATCGAAGTGGTGCACTTCTGTACAAGGTTCTAAATTGATTTTTTTGTCCATCAGATGAATGAAGCCTGTCTGACGGAAGGCAGTAGTCATTATCTAAGTACAATTCAACTCTATCCATATTTTACAATTATTATCTTATTACTTACAACCACAATTCATCTGAGTCACTTAACTAACCTGTTCAAGAAAAATGATAGTTGTTAAAACTTGATTACGTTCATTTAAACCACCAATTTGTTGTAATCGTATACGTATTTTCACTGTCAACTTTTCCGAGATGTTTTTCAAGGGTCTTACAGACGATTCATAATCTTGCATAATATACGTGTAAACTTGTTGTTCATGAGGAACTAGAATACTTTTGTCATGATACCCTGGCTTAACTTGGCCAACAGCTTCGTCATCTAAATCATAGAATGAAAGACAGGAATAAAAACATGCTGGTTTTTCAGATCAACAATATACTTATTATATATAATTACTGACAAAAAATTTTGATCGTGATGGGTTTTAAACTATCAGATAACCTTAGAAAATCCCAGCCTGTTTTTCGAATGACTGCGTTACAGAGTCAAATGTTGAAAACATTATCCTGTGCTGAATAATTTCATATTAACCAATATACTACTAATCAACAATTTGAGTAGCTAAAAATCACTGAGACATTTTATCAGCCAGTCAGATCAGTTATCTGCTTAAAAACCGTATGGTCGTTTCCCTCGTTTTGGAGCCCAACCAGCTGATCTGCTGTATAGTCAGAGTACTTCAGATGGCTTGGATCTGTCTATTTAACTGACTTGCATGGGCCAGCATACCTAAAATAGGATGGTCAGTTTGCAAACGATTCACAAATCACACGGTCCATGTGGACATTTTCCACAGCTTAGTATTTTTTTACCTGCCCACTTGTGATAGTGGCGATACAACCGTCCAGTTTTTAGATCACTATGATGTAACCGGAGAAATCTGCACATCTGTCTGAGTGGTATGAGTAGTATATTCCGTTATTTTGTGACACTTGTGTCGAAGATCACACCTTGTCTTATCCGTGGGGTGGTTTTTAATGGAAACCCTGTTGATACCACATTTGATAAATCGAAAAAAACCACTCAACTGTGAGATATATCAACATGGATCATGCGGTTTGTAAATCACTTGCAAATTTTTACAGTAGTGTGAAATGAAGCCTTGTACTTAGTTTTAGTACACATTTACATGCATCCATGGAGTGTATTTCCAGGCTCTGGGAAGACCAGGTATGGAAAATGTGAGCCTCCGATAAATATTATTGGTTCCATGATTTCTACTTATTTTAAAATGCATTTCAATTAGGCCTAATTTGGTAACACTCGTGCATAGCTCACCTAAAGAGCATTCAACTGATCCCTCATCTATCCGGCATGAATTATAGTACAGAAATAAATACCTAATGAGAGAAATCCATCATTACGTATTATCACATTTTCTATGCATGAAAGTGATTACTTCAATTTCATAAATTTGTTGTGAGTTGTTATAGCGTGATTTAGTTGTATATGTACAGATGACTAAGACTGACTTTAAAGGTCACCCTAGAAACCATCAAGAAAACCAATTAATGGTTGTTTATTTTATGAAAAATCTAACTTCATAGCTTCTGCATTAGATTTGTTTATTCTACATAGTGACATGGTATTATTTACTTAATCACGTTTCAAGCGTAAATTATCATCTCTCATAATCAGATCAATGTAATCATACTATTTTCAAAATCTGATTTTTATAGTCCTGTCACCTCACATTCTTTGTTTCCAATGGTTGTAAACGTTTTTCAATATCTCTGATATAGGTGTTACGTCATTCCTATCACATGTCTTGGATGTTGTTGATTTGATGAAGAAAGATTCAGTGACCAATCCCTCCTTCTCTCCACCTAATTATATTGGACTTAAGTACAGATCAAGCTGGAACCGCTGGATTTTCAAAGCTTCTACTTTGTTGAAGTAGCGAATACGTTTATCCTTTGAAATGTTTGATTTAAATTTATAAATGACTTTGAAGGAAGATTCTCTTGGAACAGCCTGACTAGAGTAAATCAAATGTTCAAGAATTAAGCTGTTAATGTTTATGAACTCTTCCTTAAACAGCCATGCATGATAGTGTTTGGAGATGTTACTGGATAAAGCACTCTGTGTGGGTAAGTAGTTCGATAAAAGCGGCTGAATTGGTAAACACGTGTGGAGGCCACCCAAAGAGGCAGTTTAACCCTTTACATATCATCAAATCAGTTGTTGGTTAGAGAAAACAATCCAAAGCTTGGCGGAAAACAAGGTCTTCCTCAGCGCTTTGCATGGTCGATTTCTGAGTATCTTTCCCAATATATCCCCCTTGAATCCAGTATTCATGAATAGTGTTTTCGTTGGAATCGCAGGGGTTCCTTCTTGGAAATGCTCAAGCCTCATTTTCTTCTTAATGAATCTTGAAGAATAATCATTCTCAATGAACACTTTTCGAAGTACTTACAGCTCCTTATTTACTGCATCACCATCTAGTGTATAGTGAATAAATTAGGTTTCTTTTCTTAACTAGTAAAACCCAATTTCAAAATAAGTACATTATCCATCCCAGGTTACTTTCCTGTAAATCGATCTCCTTCTTCTTAATAGAACTTTCAGGAAATGGAATTCTGAGTTGTTCTCAGTTTCCATGGTAAATTTAATTGACTAGTGACATTCGTTGGAATTTTGTAGTATATTTTCAAGGTTAGTATTCTCCTTATAGATCATAAACTTTTCATTCATGTATTTCAAAGTGGTTGTGGTTGTACACTGCTTAGGTGGCCCATGTTGGGATGAAAATACTGTCCACTGTTCCCAGGTTCTCAGTAAGTCTGTAACTGATTAACCACGATGAAGACTTATTTGGACTTCTTAATCCACTTGCGACCTTGAAACGGCCACCATTTGAATGTAACAAGTAAATGCGGATCACATTCGTGGGAGTTTATAGTTATATATATTCGTTTAACTAGACATAAATGAAATGTTCTTGTCAGTCAAGTTGACAGATTAGCGTTATTCATACTGACTGGTAATTGAAAGTAAAATAAAAACATATCACAGTTTCTGACCAGACGACTGTAAACTGAAAGCCCAGCGCCCGATCAACTGAGTCTTGAAGTCCTTTCGCTGACCATGTCCTAATTGATAGGTGGATCGAATATCTAGTCAGGAAATGGACTAATCAAAATTCACTTTGTACTATAATTATGACTTTAGACTAACAGACAACCAAACAGTTGCGAATGTCATTCACGTGCGTCTATTTTTTTGCTAGTATGCACTGATTGGACTACCTACACTTTCATGGCCATTTACATGTCTATCCATGGCTTTAAAGGCCACCCTAGCAACGACTGAAATAACCAATGAGACTACTTTATTTTACGAAAATCAGCCATTCCAGTCGAAATGAAGGATTCTAATTGGTTATTTTGACCGTCGCTAGGGTGACTTTTAAAGTCGCCCATTTTTGTATATCTTGCGGTGTATGGTTTCACGCCTTCTGTCCGAGTACAAGTTCTACTTGTTCCAGTGTCTTGTTCACTAATTAGTGGGGTTGGTAAAATCAAATTAGGAGTTGTAGAGTATTGCTGATTAACAGCTGACATTTGTACATCATTTGGGAGTGTAACAGTCAGTGCATTCCAAAACAAATGACCAATAACAATAAGTCGGGAAACACAATACTAACTTCAAAACAGTCGCCAATTGTTTTGCTCCGATACTATGTGGACTCAAGATATATGGTAATCACATTACTTTCCGTATCATATCTTGTTATTCCAATTTGAACCGAGCTGAACTAGAAGGTTTACGATCGGGGTGCACTTCTGATATATGTTCGTCGGTTGAAGCCAACCACCAGGAAGTTCTAGACCTAGGTTTTCCGGGTGTTGGCACTCGTCAGTAAGGTGTATCTTCAACCTTGAGGAAGCTGATATCCTGTCTGAAACTCAAACCAGCGTCACCCAAGGCTGCAGCCAGAGACGCTACCACTGAGTTGTGGCTGCGATGGCCTCCTGTAGGACTGGGATGAAAAATGATTCGTAGAACTCCATCAGCGCTCACGACTGGACAACACGAGATTGGTTGTTCTTCATTGACCAATAAATGTGTCTAATCCAGTCCTACAGGAGGCAGGTCGTGGCCTGAATACCTAGGTGGTAACGCCTTTGACTGCAAATCTGTTGGAGGCGGATTTGAGTCTCAGAAATGACACCCGCTTCCTTGAGGTTGGAAATACGCCGTACTGACGAGGGCTACTAGGTACAAAAGGTAGGTCCAGATCCTCCTAGTAGTTACCACCAACCAACTAACATTGAAAGTTCGTTATTTATTAAAAGAGGTTTTCATTGGGCGGATATCATTTGAACGACATCACGCATACAGTAAACATGATGCAAATCAGTAGCCATGTACAGCTTCATGTAACAGACTGACCCTTGAGTATTGTATGTGAGGTGACGTTGCAGTAGGATTTGTGACGTTGCAGTAGGATTTGAATCATTGACGCAATGATCAATACTTGTGTGTATATACTTGTGGTGTTTTACGTTTATTGAAAAGGACACTTAGCATATACACATAGATAGAGATGATGCATAATGGTTGGCACTGAGGTCCAGGATACACATTTTGTCCTATTTTGGACTCTTTAGCTGGATGTAAATCGTATACAAAGGGAAGCTACAAACAACAATATGAAATATAAATGTCCATTAGGGTAAATGGACACGTCGTCCTAACCTTACTAGTTGTGCCTATACATTTAAACTACGATAAACTTTGTACTCTTATCAAGTCGAATGTCCCTTTATTTGTCACTGAATTGTTTAAATACAGTGTTCCGTCCAGATATTTTGTCTTTCTGACTTCAGATATTCTGTAAATATAAAATTACAATTGCATATATTGTTCTTCTTCTGAGATCCTGAATAACGAGTTCCGATTAGTACGAAAGTGTGGAAGTTATTTAGTAACACGATTTCAAACACTACTATACCTATAAACTGAAGTTCTACACATTTTTTAAAAAGCTTGGATAAGTAAAAGTTATAACTGTTGATGGATAGCGGCTAGCAGTGGGACCGAGGACATGGGTTTCATTCTATATGGGACTCGTCAGCTGGATGTGCCTGCTTCCTAGTGAATGATGTCCCCAATAGAGCTTGCATCCCGAACAGATCACTTCAAACACCAAAGCGTTATCCACTAAGCCACTGAGTCACGATACCCACCCCTTGTGAGACTAGTATAGTCTTAATACTGTCACTTGCATTACCCTATCGTTGACTGGACCGAACTGATGCGTCCCCATTGGCCTATGGGCTCCTGCACAGATGCCTCGATATTGCCTATGTCTCAGTCATATGTTATTCATGGACGGTGGCAACTTTGGAACCGAGGATGCGTATTTCGCCTTATTTGGGACTTTTCAACCGGATGAATCTGTCTGCTGGTGAGTGACGTTGTCCCTGCTGAGACTCGAACCAGGGACCGATGTTTTCAAACGTTAATATCAAAACCGGAGCCCATATGCCAGTAGTGACCGTTAGATTCGGTCCAATCAGAGATGGAGATTTATAAACTATAACATCAAACTAAGACTCCATAGCCTCATCTTTTACTAAATGTATTTATCCATTCATATACATAACCTAGTTTTGCAGAAAGTCAGTAGTGATATGAACAGTTTAGTGGTGACGTTTCTGATTTCAAAAGAAAATGATGCAGGTTCAAGAATATGCATGTTAGGTGCCACTAAGTATGAAACCCAGACTAAAGGCTTCGTACTGACTAACTTCTGATATACAACATCACGGTGCAACAACTGAATTGCATTAAAATGAGTAAATCATTCTTGATCAAATGATTTATACATATTAGTTCTAAGGTATTCTAAACTAAAGTAATGAAGAAGTTTCATTTTTATATATTTCAACAAGGTTAAACATTTAAATTGTAATAAATGTACAACCTCTTGTAATCAGAAATTGATGGTAATCATTTAGTAATGCATATTCCCTCCTTTGAAGGACATAAAGTTAAGAAGAATATGTCGGCACTTCCAAAATGGGACTGTATTTCAGCCTATCTCAAAGTGAAGTGACCTCCTGCAAAATTAATAAGGTATGGTAGCTGTTTCGTGGTTAATAGGCACTTTATAAACCATCTGATCGTATATATCTCCTATTTCCTATACCTAACAAGTTGTTGTTTGCCGCATAATTATATTCCTATAGGTTTTTAAATTGATAGACTATGAGCGAAAATGATTTTCTCTAGTAACACTGATTTGTCAGTATACCTGATCACCAAATCCGATGGAGTGAACAGGAATGAAAACGACAATAAAGTAGGAGAATTAAAACTTGAAATTTCAGTTACTCACTGGTTTGTTGGTAAGTCAAGGTAAGGTGATTCCATGATAGTAGCGCAATACCGCTAATGAAGTAGAAGAACATATCGATGAAAACCGTGTAACTGTCCACTTTTGATAGTATCATACAACTAAAATTCCCACAGTAATATATACGCAACCGAAATATTAGTCAAAATGAAACTAACAAGCCTATGTAAGAAATACAATAGGAAATAATGACGACCAATCAAATAAAAGAGTCTACTTTTTCAGTTGTCCAATAAGCAAGTGATTTTTATCCAATGCAAAACAAAAACCAATAGGAATGCTTATGCATATTGTTTTACTTGAAGGTCATTGTTTGACCATGTAAATTCGATTGAAAGTGAGACCTTTTAAAATAACACTTCCGAGGCGTATATGATAATGGACAGGAATTTGATAACATGCCAGTTAATTTGTTTCTGTGTTCCATAATAACAATGATATCAACAGGATGAAGTATGAACAGTCTTAAACTACATTTTACAAACATATTTTTAGTGAATATTAACGTACAATGATCAGTAATTCCAACAATAAGTGTGATGACGATTAGAATTTTTACTTGAAATGTTACTGAGAATCGAAGCTTATCGTTGTGTGTGAATGGTTATTTGCTGCAAATATATCCATAAAAAACGAATTCCTTCCATAATGCACAACGTTATCATGGATCTAATTTGAAACTAAACTATCTGATCACTGATCTTACAATAATTCTGTGCAGTATTAAAATGAATTTTTTTCATCAGCATATTAAATATTTGTGTATCAGTAGTATTCGTGATTATTCATATAAATTCCTATGATACGATAGATAACCGTCTAACTTCAATTAAAGTAATCTTTCATAGGGTGAAAATGATTTATGTTGCTGATGAATTGGAAGGAGAGTCGTGAATCACTGAAAGATGTCTACTAGAGAATGTTTATCCACAGAATGGAAGGCGAAAACCCAAAGACAACTACAGTCAACACAAGGTCCGTGTTTACTAGCTTTCATTTCAAAGGAAATTGACAAACGACTGGAGAAATAGTTGACTAGAACGTTTTGTGCAGCCATATTGATTTCTGTCTGTTAAAAAAGGTATTCATTAATCCAGACAATAGCCTACCTGGGTTATGTTGAATACATTCCGAAGATCCTATGACTAAAGTGAAGTAACAGTCTGAACAGCTTAGCCACTGAGCATATGATTCACATCGGGTTTTTTTAAGATAATAAACAAGCTCAATTCTTCCGAAGCTCACTTAGACCATAGGCATTAGATACCTTCAACCCTAATTTTGTGAAATAGCGTAATAGTAGTAGTAATGGCATAACACACTTGAAATATGTAGCAGTAAATGAATATTTCAAAGCCAAGGTCATCAGTAAGGCAGTAAACGAGTAGACAAGACACAGGATTAATAATCACAAATATTAGTCGAAATCAATAGCAATTTATATTGGATAAGATAGATTCTGGAGTTGTCGAAGGCGGGGACGGCTTCAAGAAAACAAATCGTGTGCGGATCAAATTGCAACGCCACGCTACGCATCAACTCTCTACCTCAACTTCATCCACTTTGAAAAGGCCTTTGACAGCATCGATCAAGAAGTAATCTGACAGCTGCTTCAACACTACGATTTTAGTGTCACAAACCTTTACCCACCACATTCAACAGTAGCTATATGCTTTATGACGATGATACATGCCGAGTGATTCATAATGGGAAGCTCAGCGATGCATTTAAAGTGAAGACAGGAGTAAGGCAAGGTTTCCGCCTACTATCACTGATCATCTTCCTGATTGTGGTCGACTGAACTGAATCATGCAACAAACTGTGAGGAGCGAGAAGAGGACATACTCTGTTTGACCGACGAAAAGACTCTAGAAGATTTGGATTTCGCTCATGATGATTTATGTCTAATGTCTTGTCGCACAAACTCGAAAATCTACAGGGGAAAACTAACAAGTTGGTAGAACAGGCAAGGCAGTGGAGACGGAGCTTCAGGTGAACGTAGAAAAGACAGAGGTGATGAAGATACCCAACCAGCACAACAACAACGGAAAGTACCAATTACCATCAACAGGAAAAATCTAAAGGAAGTTGTATCTCCCACCTACCCACCTCCCTAGACAGCATCGTTTCAGCTACAGGTGGCACAGAAGAAGATGTCAAAGCCAGCATCGAAAGACAGCAAGACAGGCCTTCCTGCATTAATCTGAAATCAGTGTCAAGATCTACTCCACTGAAGTGCACTTCACTAAGAAGGGGTTGGTAAAAAGCTTGTAAGTTACGCGATTACACTGCAGATATGATGTATAGGATTCGATCTGCACTCAGGACTAGACAATATGAAATTGGCTACTCTCCCGTGACCAATCACTGCATGTAGCTTAGTCCTACAGGAGTTGATGAAGGGATGATCCAAGTTACCAAAGTAAATAAAGGTTAATTACAGTCTCCTGGCTACATAAGTCAGGTTGAAAATGTATGACAGCGATAGCTTCTACAAACCTTATTTAACACAGAGTTGTTTGTTTGCTGATTATCTTAAAGGATTAAGAAAGATCTATCTGATGTCCTGTTTCCATCAGGAGCCTGACGACTGCGCTGCTAAAGACCTTGCTACCTTTCAATGACACCTTTTTTGTATGCTTATAAAGCTAAGTAGACACTTCTTTCGGTCCTTCCTATATACTTGGTTCCAAAAGCTTATATGAATTGACATACACAGCTGCAGGTGAAGTGAGCTGGATATTCGTATCCTTTCGACGGTGTAAGTTAGCATACTTTATTGTAAACTGAGATTAGTCTGGTAGCAATGAAGCTACTTCTCAGTCTAGCTTTTATTTTTCTGTCTATTCTTTTAATTACTTCATCATCTTTGAGTGCTGGGTGAAGGAAAACAGGTGTCCTGTAAACAGACGGATGTTTGGATCTCTCAAATGATTTCAACATGTTGAAATAAATGTTTGTAAAACTTATTGCATGTTGCTGTGACCTGTATCATTTCCATGCATTAATGTAAGTAGATGGAATCCTCTATCTCAGAGAAATCAAGCAGCTAGTTGGCATCCCTGATCCGTCAACTCTGGTAGATACGTATGTATAGCATCCTAATGGACTAATAGGTGACTGATACATAAGTTCCTGCTAGGAGAATTACATCCATACAGATGTGAATCTTAATTCTACATTTCTTTAGGTTCCTATTTTATTGGTTATCCTGAATTCCAAATTTTATTTATTTCTACATATTTATAGTATATTGTTTGATTATTAGTACAAACATTTCATTTCACTTGTACGGTGTCTACAGCTAATGAAGGGCGGCGAAATAAAATGATCTCATTTTATTCTACAAATGTCATTACTGTTGCCTTATTCAGTTATTTTGTTTGTTAACACTAATTAACATTTCAAGAGACTTTAACTTCATTATGCCTATAATTGTGACATCGTTTTACTCTATAAAATTCTCTTTGGATTGACCATTTTAATCTACCATTATGCTATAACTACTTCTGTCCGTTTTAACTACTGTTCAATATTCTGTTTTCTTCTAGGGAATTAATGTAGGCTACATTTTCAATGAAACTATAAACTGATCGTATTAAACCATAGACCAATTAACATTACTAGCGAATCATTTTCAAATAATGCTGTATTAAATGCCTTGAAAGATATTAAAATAGACCCAAAATAGACCCAATAGACCCAGCATGGGTTGCAAGTTAGCTGGATTCTTATTTTTCTGAAAAGAAACAGTATATTTCAGGTTGGTATTTTCCATGGACTGATATTAGATGGAGAACCACTCAAGAACTGGATGCACTGGGCGTCCGTTTCGTCCTACTATTGGACTCCTCAGCAGTGGGCATCTGCGACCTCACCAGAGATAAAACCGAAGACCTTCAGGTTCCGTAGCCAGCGCATTAGTATGGAGTCAATGAATCGTATTTCAATGGGCCATATTTCCTATCGTGAACTGACAGATGTAGGAAATATAGCCCATTCGGTTCCAACCCAGCGACTCAATGGTAATGTTCTGCCCACGGGATCTGAAGGTGGTGGGTTCGATGACTGCCGGGGTGGGGTCATAGGTGCGTACTACTGATCAGCCCCATACTAAAACAAAATAGCTGTCCAGTGCTCTTAGATCTCCAACGGTCCCACAACTAATATCGGTTCATGTTGAATACCAACCTGAAACCAATAAATCCTCACAAACCTCCAAAATGAAACACTGTGTTGTCTATAAAAAGAGGCGTTCCAATTCTTTGCTTGTTGAAGCCACCTTGCCTCAGATTGCAGTGCTTTCTTCGTTTCTGTTTTCCTTCTCTTTGCACAACTTACCTCATTCTTCTGAAACTGACATTACAAAGTATGCTGATGAGCTGACGATTTCTGTGCTGGTTAACTCTCAGATAGGTTGCTCTGAACCAGATAATTTCTTGTCTTAGATTGACCAGTGGTCTTCATCAAATAGTTTTAAGTTAAACCATTTTAAAAGTCGAACTGTTAATTTTAGCTAAAAGTGCAGACAAGACGGATGTAAGCTGCTTAGGTTCCATGATTCCTATTCTATTGATGGCATTACTACAGAAAATAAGTTGAATGTTAACTATTTTGGATTGAGTTTTTCTTTCGATGTTGTTGACTTCAAGAAAAATCTTTGTTTAACGTGATTACATAAAGAAACTGAGACTCTCTGGTACAACTCAACTTCTACTTTTACAATCTGTTAATTCCTGGATTTTACCTATTCTTCTCTATTGTTCCCCGTTGATCTTTCTTGGTCTTCTGAAAAAAATACTATGTTATATTGCTTAGGGCATTGAAAGCCATCAGTGGGGGTGAGTGGTATGTCTCTGGCCCAACTGAATAACACTGTAGTTGACAGACATTTCAACTCCAGCGAACAACTAGGTACATTAATTTTAACTGACACTGAGTATCCACTTCATTCACAGCTGTCTCCTTGTATTTCCTCGAAAAGGACAAGAAGAAATTACATCAGACTGTACGCTCGTGAATGCTACCAATGTATGAATTGTTTGACTGTTGGTTTGAGCCATATGAGGCTATGCAGACTGGGTGATTGGGGTCCAC